CTGCACGATACTTCTAGAGAATGGTGACCTGGAAATGGTAAGGCTAGCTGCACGATACTCCTAGAGAATGGTGACCTGGAAATGGTAAGGCTAGCTGCACGATACTCCTAGAGAATGGTGACCTTGAAATGGTAAGACTAGAAACATAATACTCCTAGAGAATGGTGACTTCGAAATGGTAAGACTAGCTGCACGATACTCCTAGAGAATGGTGACCTCGAAATGGTAAGGCTAGAAACATAATACTCCTAGAGAATGGTGACCTTGAAATGGTAAGACTAGAAACATAATACTCCTAGAGAATGGTGACCTCGAAATGGTAAGGCTAGCTGCACGATACTTCTAGAGAATGGTGACCTCGAAATGGTGAGGCTGGCTGCACGATACTTCTAGAGAATGGTGACCTCGAAATGGTAAGACTAGATGCACGATACTCCTAGAGAATGGTGACCTCGAAATGGTAAGGCTAGCTGCACGATACTCCTAGAGAATGGTGACCTCGAAATGGTAAGACTAGATGCACGATACTCCTAGAGAATGGTGACCTGGAAATGGTAAGACTAGATACACAATACTCCTAGAGAATGGTGACCTGGAAATGGTAAGACTAGATACACAATACTCCTAGAGAATGGTGACCTTGAAATGGTAAGGCTAGTTGCACGATACTCCTAGAGAATGGTGACCTCGAAATGGTAAGACTAGATGCACGATACTCCTAGAGAATGGTGACCTTAAAAGGGTAAGGCAGGATGCACAATGTTCATTTGTAATTGTGGCCTTGAAATGGTTGGAGTATATACACGATATTGTAGGAGAATGGTGACCTTGAAACAGTGAGCCTATTATAGCATTTCAGGGAAAACAAAAAAGTCAAAGAAACTTGCTGTCCTACAACTAATCACAGATTTATGACAAACTTTGATATATTTCCTTCAACTTTCTTTTTGTTTCTGCCGAAATATCTCAGTTAATCCAAAACAGAATCTCCTTTTAACGTTTTACAAGTTTACGTTGATGAACTGTATGGCAGCGTGAAAACAAGGTGTAGTACAGAAAGGCTCGTGTACAAAACCCTAACGCATTGTATAACTTATTTTCTGTGATACTTTTCTTTAATAAATTCACCATCTTGTTGCCATTACCATTTGTTTGTGTCTTCCGTATGTAATATTACTTGTGTGTTTGACGTTTATTTCCATTACCGTGTATTGTCTTATTTTTTTATGGTAACTACTTGTAATTTTTTTAAGGTATTCTCAACCGATCCAGGGAATTTTAGGAAATTGGATGACTTTGTCAGAACAGAGACTAAAGGAAAAGGTCAGCTGGAAGTAATCAGTTTAAAGGAGATGCAGGAAGGAGATGAACTGCTTGAGTAATCTAACTTTCACAATGTACAAATTGGCCTCAAAGATTATTTGTAAAATAAATATATTTGTTGGAAAAACTATAATCTATAGTCGCTATCACAAATAGGAAATTTGATGTGTTATTCAGATTATCTTGTATTGTTCTATTCTGAAGTGTCATCAAAATATTGCTTTTTTTTTGTTTAATGATTGATAATTTTATTTCAATAATTAAAATCTATTAATCAGCCAAGAAATCTGAATTATGGCGTATAAGTTTATAAACCTATTCAATGACCATTAAAGTAAATTAAATACAGTATTATTTAATTAGTCAGATTCTTGCAAATATAAGTTTATAGTGAGCTAAAATATTTCCAATTAAAGATGTAGTGAACTAACACTAAACCTACAAAAAAAAAAAACACGTGTGAAACTTTTACCATGTGTTTACTTTTATAACTTTAATTTTTTTATTGGGTGCCAATTCTTTTCAGTTCAATAAAGTAAAAATTATTCTAAAAATATTTGTGTCTTTTTTTATTATTATTACATCTCGGTGTTCCAAGTGAACTACAGCTTTGAACTAGTAATCTTGTACTGCCTCTGTAGAATCATCATTTTTTGAAAACAAAGTATTTATATTTAAAAGTGGAAAACATTTTTAAAAAGGCTTTTTGATTATATTTAAATTACAGGAAAAAATATTTTTGAATGTGTTCTTTTTTAAGATAATTTCACAAGATTACTTGAACTCGAGAACATTGACAGCATTTGTTAGTACTCTTATCAACAAGTGTTTAATTAGCGATAACTGTGTAGGTTCGCTGGTGAGCAAAAGTTTCGTAAAAACCCTGAATGTTTTAAAATGTTACCTGGTGTTTGAGTTTAACTGGATAAAATAAATTCAATACTTGTTTCAAATTTTAGAAAACTTGCTCAACTGTTTTCTTAAATAGTGAAAAATTCTGCTGACTTTTTATGTCATTAAAGACTTGGAATAAATATTTCAGTAATTGAAAACTCGGGTTCAACTGATAAACATAACAATGCCAGTGGCATATAGTAAATTAATATTAACTTCCGATCAGAGCCATCTCTCCACTTAGAGTGAAACTAAAAATCAACTATCAGTGTAGCTAATTAAATATTATTTACTTCCGTTTCTATTTATAAAAAATTGGAATGCGTTGTTTCATCAGTTGGGTACCCTTGCTGTAAGCAATATTTGTCGGTCATAATCCCAGTAATATCGCACGAGGTTCAGCCTGCTGAGAAGATTTAGGTTAGTCCTAAATACATATATTAAGCTAACAATGCAAAAAAAACAAAAACCTCTATAATAAAATTATAGAATAATGTTAAAAAGTGATGACATTCAGGATATTATATAACTAATACTGTTAACGAAAGTAAATGACATTGTATGTGTAATGTAGAAAACAAACACACTAACTGTTAGGTTGAAGTACTGTCGAAGTAAATTTATATGGAGGAATGTTTTAAATTGATGACTTCCGAAAGTACATTTAGGTTTAGAACATTATCTAAGTGTTGTTATTTCTTGAGTGATTTTTTAATAAAAATAAATCTGGTAGATGATATTTGGTAAAATGCTTTTAACTTGATATGGTCACCAAATATAAGAGGGTTGAACAATTGACACCAGTAATGCGAAAATGTTGGGGCCTTGGATGAAAGAATTTTGATTTTGAAAAACACAAGAAAAGCATACGACAGACGAACTTTACCGCTATACTATGTCCTTGTCAACAGCCCTGAGGAGCGGGCATGGACTGTTGGTTAGCATCCTTGGATGTGTATTGGAAGGTCCAAGGTTTGAGACTATAATATGTAGGCAACCAAACTTCGCACTTTCAGCTGAGGCCACATGCCCCTCAGGTGTAAGCTTGAGAACTTGTACACTAAAATTCGATTTTCAGAACCAGAGATGAGTACAGTGCAGATAGCCTGTTGTGTAACTGTGGGCACAATATAAACACGACAGACAATCCAGCAGTTGGGTTAACTGCATTATCCACACGTGTAAATATTAGTCAATGATGTTTTACGAAGATAATGTAAAACTAAAAATTGTTTTATGCAGAGAATGTCTTTTAGTACTGTTGCGTCAGCGAGGTCACGTGACTAGTATCACGCCACGTCCTTCTCGAACCTTCGTGAATTATCGGGAGGCTACTAGATTGGGGGTAGTCTGGTATATATAAGATGGTCACAACGTGACTGAACAATGAGTAATTGAACTGCAGTCAGAGAGAATATTGTTAAGCACGTGAGAAGTTCGTTGAGAATTATAGCGCGACTGTTGAAATTAAGTGTATCGCAAAGTTATATTCAGAAAGAATAAACCATTTTTATTTAAGAAAGGACTTGTGTCGCTAAAGTTTCGTCGGTACAAATTTACGGAAAATTAACTAACGACTGGAGGCGTAACAGTACTATCTTGATTATGCAGTTTATCATTTCGCTTCAAACATTATATTGTTGCGTATCTGTTCGTTTGTTAATTTCCGGTATAAATTATTCCCGAGGAACTTCAACGATACAAGTTTATTCTTTCTCAATACAACTTTACAATACACAGAATTTCCACAGTTACTTTAACTTAAACACACGCTATAATTCACACGATTCACGCACTTTACTTACGGTCACTACCGCTCGCTTGACTCAATTATCTGTCTCTATCTGCTATTATTATTTGCCGGGCTTATATACTGAAATAGAGAGCGCCTAGAAAAGACTAGAGTTGCCATGAAAAGTCACGATCCTTCGAGAATCTCATGACGTGTTACCAGGGTCACGTGACTTCCGCTGTCGTAACAATATCCCAACGGTAACTTTTAAGATAAAAAATGCTCAAGATCTTGGAATGAATCTAGCTGTCGTAAAAATGTCGAATTTAAAGCAACAACAAAAAATCTTCAGTTTAGTTCAGTATGTACGCCTTTCAAACTGGATTAAAATGAGAGTTTATTATAAGCGCTAATAGTAAAACCAAATATCAATCTTAGAAGTATATTTCATAAGCGATAGGATTAGGCTTATTTAAAATTCGTCATTATTATAATTATGCCTCGAAAACTATATATGAACATAGTACCTTTATTTCATCAAAGTGATAGATTTATAAAAAAACATCTCAATATATGTCTTGGATAATTTACTCCGAAATATTCTTACTTGCCGCATGCATTCTATTTTATATCTCTCTTACCAAAAGAGAGAGCTCCGCGGAAGAAGTTAAACGTATTGGTATATGTAAAGAAGGCCTCAGTGCAGAAACTGAAATGTCTTCACACTCTTGAAATAAGCAGGAGCAGTTCATTAAAGCTAAAACTCTTAAAACAATGTCATAATGTAGGATTGATTTTCAGTTGCCAGGGAGAAGTTGAAGATAGTTCCTTCGTTAAGGCCTTATACAGCCGATCTAGTGGTTAGGGCGATCGACTAGCGATATGCAGGTTGCGAGATCGAAACTCATCGACAAACATGCTCGCCTTTTCAGCCGTGATGGCATTATAATGTGACGGTCAATCCTATTATTCGATTAGAGTAGCCCAAGTGATGGCTGTGAGTGGTGTTGAGGAACTGTCTTCTCTCAAGACTATCACTTCAAAATTAGGGACGGCTAGCTCAGATAGCCCAGTAGCTTTGCGCGAACCCCTCCAAAAAACAAGTACATACAAAATACTGTTTTAAGGACGTAGACATGAATGTATTGTTACAAAGCAAATGTATCAGAAAATCCGTGCAGTTATTCAAATATATAAGAAATGTAATTGCCAGTTGTTCGATTTCATGATTATGTTTTAGCATTGATATTTGTTAATTGCCACCAATTGAATAAATTCATACTTTTTGCCTAACGAGTTTTTTGTCTTCGCTATAAATAATTCAAATATCAGAATATCCTTTGCTTGCTTTTAAGTGTTTACTTGTCACAATGTTGTGAAAAAATATACATTGTGTTATGCTTACAGAATTAATTTAATAACACGAAATGCAGTTAGTGGCTACATTTTAGTGAATATATTATGACGATTGTGTTTGTTAAAAAAGGATTAATTATTGTAAGTAAAATATAAAGCTATAATTTAACTCATAATCCTTGCCTACAATACTTTTTTTTCCTCAAAAAAGAATTCACAGATGTCTCTTTTGTTGCTCCGGCTTCGGCATGTACATAAAAACATTAAGCTTAGGTTAGGTTAAAAAAAAAGGTTGCGTCAATTTTTTTTATTTTTCATTTCGTTTATTTTAAATTTTTTATTTAATAAACGTTCATTGAAGATGCTGTTTGTTATTATTGCTTCAGATATATTTGATGAGAGTTTTATCTTTGATCTCCAGAGTAAACGAAGGTAGTACTGAATTTGTATTGATGTTTTAGGTTTTATTTTTACCAAAGGGAGGGGGGTTGCATTTGATGACGTCTAGGTTGTTTGATCGTTCTTTTGCCGACAGACATAGTGAACGAACAAATCAATATAGGGAAAACATTTTTGCGTTCCTACAGAGTCTGGGGCCATATCTGTAGGCTTTGAAGGTTAGTTATTACATCTTAAATAATTGTTTGATAGACTGCTTACTACATTAATAATAGTACTGGTACGAGCTCAAACGCAAGACAGTACTTTTACTCTTAGGACTAAGATTATGAACAGAATATTGTAATTATTGATAGCTGCAGTGTGACAGTTGTCTTAAGAAACTTAGAAAGTAAATTCAGCTTAAGTTAATATAAGTTAAGTTGCATATATCACTCTAAACTACGGTGTATTTCTATTGTACTGCCAAAATAAATACATGTTTCAAACAGATATACCTGTGTTATTTTTAATTGATAGTTATTATCCATAGATTTCAAGAATTAATGTTACAGTTAATTAAAAACAAGTTTTTGACCTTCTGTTGCTGTATCATATAAAATTAAATTGAAAGATAAACTCTTCAATCCCAAAGCTGCCAAAATTGTGTTGTGTACAATGCTTTTGTGATATGTATATGTAAGTATTTTGTCCCCATAAAATAACATTTGGTTAAAAATGTAAAAGTTGTAGTCTTGGATCACATCAATACATGGTGTAAATCAGTATATTAGAATCTAATAGGTGTTTTACTGAGAGAAAAAAATACTGGAAAAACTATTGCAAAATATTGTGATAAGTCATGATACAGGACTATATTGCATTATTTTGTTCTTTTATAGAAATATAAGCTTGTATGTTCATAATTTTCTTAATGTGTGATGTGGGAGATTCATATCTTTAATGTATACTCATGTGTCAGTTTGTATGTAGCAAATATGATCAATTTCTTGAATGTTTGAAGGTGGCTCAGATACTCCAAGTTTAAGATTTGGAAAAAACAGACTAGGCTCCAGTTAAGAAAGTTTTATGCTTTTAACACTAACAAGGTTATTGACTTATGGGATGAGTTGCCACAGGTAGTAGTGGAGTCCAACATTTTACAAGAGCTTAAGAAGGGAATTAATGATTTCTTGCAAAATAAAGGATGGGTTTAGATTTTTAATTATCTCAAGCTTAGGTGTGCAAGAACAACCTAAGAGGACCAATGTTGTCCAT